ATGCGGAGGCGATCCTTCAATCATAAATTAGTTCTGAGTTTGTAATTCAGAACATAACAAAAGTTTTAGGAAACACATGAGAACCCACACAGGAGAGAAACCTTTCAGCTGCTCAGTTTGTGATAAAAGATTTATGTGCAACGCAGCTCTAAAGGTACACATGAAAACTCACACAGGAAAGAATCCCCTTTAGCTCTTCTACCCAATCACCCCTCTGCATATCCCTTCGAGCGGTGGGCCCATAGGGCGGAGGCTCAATGTAGAGTTTTCGGGTTGTTCCTGGTCGAACCATATGTCTCATGTCCCAGAAACCAGACCCTCACCAGCAAGCTCCACTCCCAGGTCTGGCTCCAGAAAGGGGCCCCGGTTTCCCTTTTTTTTCGACCCAGCTGCCACACCTCTTTTCAGATGTTGAGTGAATTCTTGGTCTGAGGTCACAGGTCACACACACGGCCCTAAACCACATTAAGGTGATTTATTGGAATTATATAACATTCAAGACACTTTGCTTTCTGTTACTATTATAACGTTACCCAGCTTCATAGTGTTGTTTTTACCGTTAGAATGAAAGTTTTGCTGATTTAAATATCTTCTTGTATAAAGTTATTTTGCATGTTTAGATCCAGAACTATAGAAAAATACCAGAAGGCAATTCATGTGTTGATGCATTGACTTCTGCAAGTGTGTGTTTTCCTTTGTGTAATGTTATAGTTTCTGTTGTCTCTGTTTAGTCACACAAATCACACATTGTCATTTTACTTATTGCTGAGGGAGCAGAGGAGCAGAAAAAGATCAGAAGGCAGTTAATGGGTTGAATTCTTCTGCAGAAATAAATAAATGTTGGAAAACAATCAATTGAGTTTTCTTTTTTCCATGTCCAACCCACACCCATTACATAAGGAAAAGATGGAAGGTAACTTAAGATGGGAATAATTTATAGAGGCTTTTATTTTGTAGGTTACCCACCAAGTTGCAGGAGAACCTGCCCTGCAGGTAGAAATGGGAAACACACCGCTGGATTTAAGGAGAAAGCAACTGATGGCAAACTACGGATAAGCATCTCAGTAGTTTACCTGGTGGTGGCTCCATGGACGCTTGTGTGGCCTGACATAGACTGGTATTTGTTAGAGGTTGAAAAAGATGAAGTTGATTTGGTAAGTGCATTTGAATATTATGTAATGAAAGAGTATCGTGATTTTAAACGGATGGTCCAAAGAAACCTGAGACAGGAGAGACAGGATATGGGGCGGCAACACCAGCTAAAGGAAGAGGAATCAACAGAAGAACATCCAATCATTTTGGGGTTAACACAGTGGAGAGAATGGCAGTGCTGGTTGTACTATGATGGGTGGAAATAACTAGACAGGAAAAGGTGTTGATTTGCTCCGACTCATCTTCAGCCCTATAGCAAGTTTAAGGACTTTTCATTCAAACAGTCATCAAGATAAATGGTGAATGGACTGTACTTGTGTCGAGCTTTTCTAGTCTTCAGACCACTCAAAGCACTTTAACACTACATGTCATCATTCACACATTCACACACTGATAGCAGGGGCTACCATGCAAGATGCCACCTGCCCATCAGGACTAACTAACATTCATACAACATTCAGACACTGTAGGCATCGAGGACACATCGACATGGACTATTGGAGCCGGGGATCGAACCGCCGATCCTCTGATTGGACCCTGCTCTACCACAGTCGCCCCATATACTGCATGAAGTCCTCCAGTCAACCAGAAGAATAACTAATCAGGGAGGTCAGGTTACATTCCTGTGGGTTCCAGCGCATGTAGGGGTGAGTGGGAATGAGAGGGCGGATGAGTTGGCAAAGAGGCCTTTAAAGACAAACACAGATCTGCACATTAGTGTCAGTAAAGCAGACGTCAAGTGTATTATTTGGGGAAAAGAATCAACCGAATGTGGAAAAAAAGGGGTGCATGAATGCACATTAAAGGGAGTATTGAGCCTGGGTGAGGGAGCACAGGTGAGGGCACTGTTAGCTTTCTGAAGGAACACAGGTTGTGTTTTTCATAGGATATGATGGAAATGCAGGGAAATGGTAAAAGGGTGATTGCCAGAGGCGAGGAATGTATATGTGTAGACTCCAATTACTATTTATGAATTTATTTGATATACTATATTATCTTTTTTGACATATTACATGTGTACTTTTTTGACATATTATACTATGACTGTTTATATTTTTTGACATCCTATTATTTTACTTTGTTGGACATATTTCACGCTGACTTTTTATGACTTTATGGACTTATATTAAATGTCGATGTTTTCAACATACTATACTCAGACTGTTTTCGACTTTTCGACATACGCTGACATTTTTATTACTTATTTGGACATACTATCGTGTGAAACATGGAGGATAAAATATAGGTTAATGGTGTATGTATTTAGTTTTTTTGATGTTTGTTGTGTATGAAATATTGTCAGTCTATTGTCTGATCCACTCTCCTGCATTCAGTGAATATCAACTTCCTTCACTAAATCAAAGAAAATAAAATCTCTTGAATGCGGCATTAAAGTTACAGTCTTGACCCAAAATAGAGAGTAGATAATGGAATTCTGTCATTAGAGCTCTTTGGCTGCTGTCATACGATTTCATGTGTGCGTCTCCTTCAGATTTGTGTTAGTGAGGTATAAATCTGCTAGTCGGGAACTACCCAGCATGCATTTCTTCATGATTGTACGTTAACAGTGACCATTTGTAAAAATCTACTCTGTCAGAGTTGGAGTCTTCAATAAACAATGATTCTAAACTGCCAGTTTTTAATTCAATGAATATAAAATATATATATCTAAAATGAAAAAGAAGTACTGAAGAAAAAACCAGAAGCCAGAGTCAACAACCAATAAACATAAAGTTTAAAAAAGAAACAGTACATCAAGTGAGAGTTGTTAAAATACATATATAAGATTGCAGACATCTAATAGACAAATGTCAATGTTTAAGATATAAATAGTTTTAAAACCAGATGTGGCTTTCATGTTAAAGAGGAACTTCTTCAGAGGGAACGAACTGTAGAAGCGATCCCACCCTGAGTTGTGTTATTTCGCTGACACCTTATTCATCAACAGATAAGGTCAAGTTGAAGACTTCTGCTCGGTGGATGACTTGTAGATTTGACTCAAAACTGAAAGCTTCCTGTTTTCATCTGTTCGTGAGAAACTTAAATAAAAAAGAAAAGAAAGACATTTACTTGAGACCTAAGCTTATAAATATCCGGACCAAAGTTCAAATCAATCCGGACCAGGGGATATATTTTGTAGTGTTTGAGCATCTGCTAATGTAATTGAAATTGCCCATGCATTAGTGTGTGTGTGTGTGTGTGTGTGTGTGTGTGTGTGTGTGTGTGTGTATTAGTGTGTATGTGTATGTGTGTGTGTGTCGTCAGTTTCTGTGTGTATGTGTAAGGTCAGTGACCTGTCAACTTAAATGCTAACGCGGGCCGCAAGATGCCGGCCTTTAAAAGCACAGGATTCAAACGGAGACAGAACTGCGTTAATTGTTCTGTAGTTGAGCACTACATGTGCATCCACACACTGCAGCAGCTTCACTCAACAAACTTCCATCTCAATGTCATGAGCCCAGGTTCAACACACCGAGCCAAGCCCCATGCTGCTGAGTGCTTTTAAATGTATGATGCTTTTGTAACGTTGTGGACGACTTGCAGTGTTTCCACTGGTAACATACTCGCACGCCCCCCCTCTCTGTGGTCTCCCTCCCCAGGGGAGTACAGTACCTTTAAATGAATACACCGAATCTCCAATTTTTTAAGCAAGCCCCAGTTACCGGTTCTATTTTATAAGCGCTATCACCAAATCACATATCGACAGACATAAGAAGTACATCAATAATAGGGACAGCAAACCTAGAAGTAAAAGTTCAGAGTACTTCTTTCTATTGATGGTTTTATAATACCTGTTTTAGGGGGGGCGCTGCAGCCCCATCAGCACCCCTGCTTTCAGCGTCCAGTAAGTTCCTCCACAATGTCTGCATTTATTCAGTACTATATCCATTTTAGAAGGTTATAGAAAATGATAGCCCCTCTCCCTATAACACTGCTCGCACTCGCAAACCTCTCATTCCACAGCAATCACTTTATTGTCATTTACGTATATGTCGGTGTGTTGTGGTGGTTTTCCTCAAAGACTCTTATGTAAAATTCACAGGTATTTTTATTGAACTACTTGGAGGATCCCCTCACAAAGGTGGAGGCCTTCCCCACTGCACAACTCATTCCGGCGCCTGTGACTGTATTACGAAATATCATATTTAGTGTCTAATATGTCTGATTGAGTTAGTTGTTCCAAATAAGAATCAGCGCTTTAGATGTTTGAAGGTTGTTCCTCCGCGGCTTATTTGGGACTTGCAGTTGTAAGGAATTGTGAGGTGAGCTTAAATTACGACGAGTCAAGTCACATCTCACATTTCAGATATTAAGCAATGAAATGTTCCTGAGAACAGAGTAACGTGTGAGAAACGCCTCCCTACAGGAGGGGAGTGTTTACTTCAAGCACAACATGTAGAGAATTGTCTGGTGAAAACTATGCGTCTCCAAAATGTCAACTTTTCATAAAATTCGAAAAATGTGGCTTGAGTAAATATTTATATATATAATATATATATATATATTTTTAAACCATTACGTTTTGAATGACCTGTGTGTCTTCTTACCTCATGAGGTTTTAGTTCCACAGGTCCAGTTGGATCACTCCCCAACATCACTACTTTGTATTGTATGGTGTATTACAGCATAGTGTCGTGTGGTTGGCTGTAATGTTGTAGAGTGTATACTTCTTCACAGTAATATACAGTAAAATATGTGAGCATGCTATGCATGGTAAAGGAAAGGCTCAATTAAATAGAAAACAGATTTTACTGCTGTTTGTCCTGTAGAATCTAAACTGTGTAACAAATAGTAGAGGTGGTGTGTCGGGGTCCTCAAACAACTGACGCACAGAAAACCAAAATGACCAAAGTCAATGCTGAGCCAAGCTTTAATTTGCCAATGCTTTACAGAGATAGAAAGAGTACAATGACATGAGTACAGTACATATAGTGAGCTTTACCTAAATATGGTCTTTATTTCTGCTTACTATAATGAATACAGAGTGTTTCTGTACAACAAAACAAAACCAATTCACAAAATCACAAATAGGCCCATGCAGTGGGTTGAGCAATCAGTACAAAGATACACAAGCACCGATTGGCTGGTCAAATCAAAGCCAAATAACCCATCTATTAACAAAATCATTACAGAACATCTTCATTCAGGAGTCATCTAATACATCATCAAACACCGGCATTGTTTTCAACTTGAGTTACACATTTATAACGTTTTTATTTTCTAAATGTGAACATGAACATGGGTGATGAGTAGACCGATACTGAGCGCAGTGAGACTGGAATTCTCCTGAGATGCATTCAATAACAACTCGATTAGTTCGGTGCAATCAAATTCAAATAACAACTCTAAATAACCCGAGGCTGCTGCGAGCGCTTTGCTAGCTGGTTAAATATTTGCTTTGACTTCGGAAGTCGGTTCTGTAGATACACACGTATTGTAAATCACAACAAGCGGGCCGTGTGCTTCTACATGAAGTGCTGCAGGGATGACGTATGAGGAAGTCAGCATCGCACTGGACCCTCGACAATGATTTGATTTTGGATTATTGCAGAAAATAAAGCTCTGTGGCAAACAATGATACTTCCACGTTATGTTGAGGAAACTAATCTTCACGAATGAACATCACTGTTATGATCTCTGAAGTGTAAATGCAATCAGCAGAAGTAAAAAGCTAAAGATGGCGACGTTTTGTAGTTTCATTTCGCCACTTTTTAGCAATCGCCATTTTTAAAAACATGAAAATTTGTAAATTCCGGAGTGTGACGTTTTTCTGAATCTTTTAAGCTGATGTTAACCACAGACATTATTTCAGACATGTAACCAAAAGTCATTTCTGGGTTTTAGGACTCATTCCTGCAGCACTTTTACCCAGCTTCATAGTGTTGTTTTTACCGTTAGAATAAAAGTTTTGCTGATGTAAATATCTTCTTGTATGAAATTATTTTGCATGTTTAGATCCAGAACTATAGAAAAATACCAGAAGGCAATTCATGTGTTGATGCATTGACTTCTGCAAGTGTGTGTTTTCCTTTGTGTAATGTTATAGTTTCTGTTGTCTCTGTTTAGTCACCCAGTCCTACGCACCTTTTCACTTTACCCACCAGGTGTCCCTGTTTCTCCTCTTGTATATATTGTTTTGAATGGTTTTGAGGAAATGTGTTGTTATGAAGCACATTTAGACTTTCTAGTTTGTGATCAAGACATGCCTTTGTAACATTTCCACCACTGGAGCAGCTTGTGCACTGAAAATTGGATTTTTGTTGGTAACAGCGAAATATGTTAGCAAGAGGGATTCCAGATGTTCCAAGTTCTTTAAGAGCCTTTTCCAGTGTTTCCTCATCAAGAGGACCTTTATCTCTAGGCTTGAATATTTTTTCAAACACAAAGACGTGTCTACTCCAATTTCCTTTGTTAATGACATCGTTAATCTTTTTGATGATGTTGTATCGATTACTCTTGTTTGTACATGTTCGGGGACAAGAGGAAGCGTAAGAGTAGATGACCAGCAAGTCACTGTCATTGCTGACAAGGTTTAAGTTCTGCAAAACTCGGAACTCGGCATGTTCAGGTGGTTTAACTTTTGCTACAACAAGGCTGTTGCTAGCGTACACAGCACCCTTTGAAAGCTGCTCTTTCACCTGTTCTTCAGGGTTCTCTTTGAGGAGTTCCTTTACGTTTTCTGGGTCCTCGCTCTTGATGCTTAGAGCCAGACTGAACATGCCATCTAATTTGTACCTGTCAGTAGAGAACACAACATGTCACAAGTATTGTCAATAAATGATCTTCCTGAGTGAAGTTTATAAAGAGTGAAGAACAGTGTCAGCCCTTCCTCCTGTCCTCTGTCCTCCCTCTGCTGGGTCACTGCCTGCATTAACACAGGTAGAGAGAGGAGGGGCTGCTTTCTCTACCTGTACTTAACAATTTAAAGATGTGTCAAACTAAGCTAAACAGTTAGACTACATACAGACAGACGGCGTTTAACTAATAGCTGAGCTATCACACTCTGCTTTTTACTGGTGATAATAAATTAAACCAAAATGTTAACAAAGTACCCGTAACGGAACCAATAACGTTGGAACTCTTCAATAATAATATAATAATAATAATAATAATAACAGATTTATTAATGACAAACAGATTGATTTACATTTTCTCAACATTTTGAAATTCTTAACAGTCTGAGAATAGCAACGCCGCCTTGACCGGACAAAGAGAGGCTGAAATGTACATTAAAAATGAGAGAAACACTAGACACAAAGACACTCCAGTTGAGACTTTCCAACTGAAACAAACTGTATAGAACACAATAGATGGTCTCCATCGCTGGAGCGGATGGTCTGCCATGTCATCTGGCAGCGGACTGCAATATCTAATCAATTTAGCAACATCTTAAGATGTTTTGGAAATGATATCACAAGTTCAACCTACTCTGTTTGATGCATAGTAGCAATGTATCCTATTTTGGAACAGGAGGAAGTAAATACGTTTTCTGAAGAGCACAGTAAATATCGTTCTACCACACCAACAATGACTGTGGGGAAGGTACAAACAGGAAAGACACTTAAACTAAACAGTATTTTTGTGATAAATAGAACCATTCATCATTATGACTGAACTGGGAGGCAGTCTGACCAACACTGCCATCTGCAGAGCCTTGTGCTATCAACTCAAAGTAACTAAAATGTCTCTCTTATTTTGATGGCCAAGGTTGTAAATCATTTATTTGTAGTCTTTTGTTAACATTTAATATCCAAGATCACAGACTCTCCTTTGCTTCTGCCGAGCTAACTGCTAACCTTGATTGGACATGCGTTAAAATCAAAAGACAATGAGCAGTTGGGATGTTGACTCACGCTTTCTTGACGTCTTGTATGAGTTTCGCAAGCTTGTTCTGGTCCACAGCATCCAAACTTCCAACAGACCAGAAGAACACCAGCATCACAGTCATCCACCACAGTCCAGCCATCTGAATACAATTTTAAGTTTAATCACAGAGTGCAATTTTTTTATTACCTGATAAAAAAAATCTTAAAAACTTAACCGAGATGACGAGGTCAACAAATACATTTCAAACAGGTTGTAGTAGGCAAATGACCCTTCAAAGGAAGTATTTTTGTCGTGGCACCCCAAGCCACCCAACCGCCAATATAAAATGCATATATGTAAGGCTGTGTGGTATGGCCTAAAATTTATATCATGGTATAATTTTTAAGAACGGACAATAACCAGATATAGCACCGTATATACATTTTTCTAAATGTCAATATAAATGCTTCTGAAGAGGTAGAGCACTGGTATGGTAACTCTATGGCATCATTTCGTCCATCCCGAAGTCAATGTAAACCGACCACATTTCAAAATGTTATCTTTTTACTTTGTTTTTGTCATTTTTAATGGTTATTTCCAGAAAACACGCAATTCACAATAGAAAATAAATGATTGTATTTCTATTTAATTACTTGCTTTGATTAAAAAAAATGTTGGCATTAGTAGTTTTAATGATGCATTTTAACCTGCGCAGTGTTGGAAGTTAAACAGGTCAGCTCTCTAATATCTATTTTATATTGCTGTGAAAACATCTACTTCAAACAACTGTATTTATTCAAGTTCATCACCAAAAACTACATCATAAGATTACATATGAACACATCATGATAGCGTTTTGATTTACCTTTGCCCCATCCTCATTTTTACTGAGCAGAGCGCCACGCAAGTCAAAGCAACCTCCGGTAACATTAGCTGTTTAGCTCCGTGCCGTCACGAGCCGGTCACTGGGAATACTCTGAGCAGCATGAAGGGAATGAATTAACATTGTAATCTGATTAATCAAGTTGTTCCAAATGATTTTAAGGTTTTCCTCCACAGCTTGTTTTTGACAAATTGAACAGTTTATGCCTTCTTGATGGCCAGTCAGCTGAAAACGGTCTGTTTCAGAATCAGAATCAGCTTTATTGGCCGTGTATGTGTACGCATACAAGGAATTTGACTCTCAACATACATACATAGAATATACAAATAAACAATAAGATGTAAAAATAAAAACAAGGACAGCAAAGTAGAACAGAGGTAAGCATAAACATTTAACAACTATGTACAATATAAATATATATCCAAAAGTATATATGAACAGTAGATGGTCAATAGGTGCATCTCAAAGGTCAGCACGTTAGTCAAAATTAATACCGTAGGGCAAACTTATACCGGTGTACTTTCTATACCTTTTATACCGCCCACCTCTACATAAATGTACAAAGATACACGTGGTTTTAACAATGTTAGAATTAATATTATCATATGATTTCCCATTATTTATGCTACAATATGCACATTTAAACTTGTACCTGTGCGGTGGAGAGAGATGTTCAATGGAGCCTCTGAAGTCGTCTTCTTCTTCTTCTTCTTCTTCTTCAGGTGGCAACGTGTTGCTGCAGTGAAAACAGTCAGAAGGAAGGAACATTTTATAGAGCAGCGTGAGACCATCGCCACACCCTCAAAGTGGTGACATGACCTTAGTTTCTTCTTTTGAATTTTCTCCAAAATGAGAAAGATTTAGAAGGTGTTGTTAGTTTCAAACTAATGTGAACTAACAAGTTACCAGTTAGAGTTTAGTACGTTTAATCGACACTACAGTAAAAACACCAAATACCACACATCAACCAAAATGAACAGAGCATTTCTAAATAGTAGTGTTGGTAGATTACTGTGATGGATTAATTCCTTAATGATTTAATATTATCTGAGAACACATAATCCTTATGAACCTGTCAAAAGGAATTGAAGAAGTGTTACACCTGCTGCAGTGATGCTCCCTTCATGAAGGTTCTGATGTGTTCAGAGAGCGCTTCGTTCAACTCTACCATCATGCTGGAGGATGAAGTGCGTGGTTCTGTTGAACTGTATTGTGTTTTACTGACAGCTGATAATAAAGACACTATTAGGACCCTTTACTGGCTGTGTTCATGTTAACCCTTTCAGTGCAGTGTCACCAGTGCACCACTACATTAAGAAGCCTAGTATGTATTGTGAGGCTGAGCTATGTCATGAGATAAAGTGCTGCTGGATAAGTTGTAGTTTGAATTTGGGAGATTAGCAGAGAAACGCCTTTATCTGGGAAAAAATATTTAAAGAGAGAAGACGATAATAAAAAGGTGTTATCTACAAGATACGTTGCACTGTTTCACCCAGAAGATCCAAACAAATGAGGGTTGTTATGCCGGCCTGTATTTATAAAACAATAAATTGAGGCAAAAACATGGGTTTACTGTCACTACAGTTTATAATTAAATGTAGTTTATTAGTTCAAAGACATTGTTTTAGCAACTTTTGAACATCACACTGACATATTCAAACTCCAATACATCATAAAAAACAAGCAAAAAAGTATTTTTGGTGCTGAGACCTGTACCGACATCAAATAGTCTTCCTCTTAAATTGACACGGCATGAAACTTAATACCACTTATTTTCTGGACCTTTCGGTCTCTTACCACAAGTTCTTTATGAAGACAAAATCCCCCATTTTACCTGCATGAGCTCATTTTTTTTCTCTTTTGTATTTGAAGTTATAATTTGTACTAAATCAACCAAGTGAAATCTAGTACCTGCTTTGGTGGAGAAGGATGTTTATCAGCTGTTTCCTTCTCAAGGTGCTGTGTATATGTACGTAAATGTGTTGTGTTTTAGGTTCGGTGTCAAAATCTGCTCTTTGTCCTGACTCATTGTAGCAGAAACAGAAGAGGGAAGTCAGCTTCACTGACGCTGCGTAAGGTTATTTAACAGCAGAGGTGTGAAGGCCTGTTTAGAGAGATATCATAATACTTTTCTTAAGGCAACCCACATGTTTAGAAGTGTTTTACCAGTTTTATTTGTTCCCCCTTTAGCCTCGTCATCATGACTTGAAGATTAAAGATGGAGTTGCCAGCAGACGGTCAGGGGGCTGGTCAGAGTCACCTACAGGTCAGAAGTGCAGAACAGGAAGCGGAGGTAATGTACAAAACACAAACAGTGTAATTTTATATTTGTTTCTAACAGCCCGTCTGCCAACAGGAGAAGTCTGTCAACAAAGAGACAATAAACATTTTTATAATACTCCACAACGATATCACAATCTACAAAAGCAAAGGCAATAGAAATCTAATGAAAGGTACAAACAAGGTCCAAAATAAATCTGAATTAAAATACAAATGTGCAGCAGCAGAGGCCTGACCTTCATCGATAGCTAAATGTAGACCAAACTTCTCCACCTGTGAAGTTAACACACGATTGTTAACCATGTTTCGTGTGAAATGAATCTCAACCTTGGTCCTGCCCATTGGTACCAGTGATACCTGTAACGGTTTACAACCCGCCATAAAACAGGAGTGCTGGAAAGGAGGGCGAGGTGAACAGCAGACGCCTCTTAACGACTGCTATTCAGGTGATTCGTTCAGTGTCGGTGGTCAGGTTTTGGGAAAACACAACCGAGCCGATATGGACACCGGTGGTTTGATCCGGGCCGGTCTCCTTCTCGTTTTCTTCATTTGTGTGTGTGCCGTCACTGGAAGTCCTGTAGGTGAGTGGTGCCGGAATGAATGAATTTCCTGGATTTTAGAAGCAGATTTGATTTAAAACCATAAACAGTCGGAACAATGAGGGTGAGTCTTCCGTCTGTTATGAAGGTCCTGGATTTTTATTTACATTAAACCGCTGAATCTGTCGGTCAAGTTGGAGGAGTTGTGGTCACAGTGACCTTTGACCACCAAAAGAGGACGATAATTATCAGTCAATGTATTGAAATGTGCCAAACGTTGGCTGAGGATTCATATGGAAGCCCAGGACACTGAATGATTTGGTCATTAGGCGCTGCAGTGGGTTTCATAAATCTACTGTCCGGTGAACCCTGTCCCCTACCTCCCACACCCACTCGCTTGTTGACTCAACCTTATATCTGTACGACATCATGCCATCATATCGAGTTGCGTACGCCTCACTTTAAGTTTTAGTGTTTCAAAGTCCAATGTCAGGTGCTGTCCGTATGTAAAAAAAGAAAAACTACACCATACAAAAAACCTTTCTTCATCAAATGGTTCAGTGCATTTCAGACAATATAAAGTCATAAACAGAGTTTTCGGTATAATGTACAGAAATGAGATGGCAAGAGCTAAAATAAACACACAGTATGTTCTCATGTACCTGAAACTGTTTGTCATTGAATGATTTTAACAAAGCTGATACAGTATTTGTTGTATTGGGCCTTTGTGTATCTGCTTCGAATGGTAGAAATGAACTTAAAGGTACAGTGTGTAGCATTTAAGGGAACAATTGCCCAGAACGGACAAACCAAACACTGGTTCTAGATAGGGTCATGTGTGTCACGCCCACCGTAGTTCTCCTGCAGGCCTGACACACACAGGAGAAGTTTCACTTGGTTGCAATCTGCGACCTCACCAATAGGTGCCGCCAAAACCTAGATCCGTTAGGTTCCCACTACACAAGCGCCACAGGAAAGATTCTGTATGTATACCTCCATTATTATTATTATTATTGTGGAGGCAGAAATCTCAGCCACAGATAAAGCTGGGCTCATAAAACCAAAACATTCTGCAGGACTTGATACCAGTAAGTGACAAACAACGCTTTTATGTGCAGTCATGTGTGTGAACCTGCCGTGAACTCTCTATTCTCTATTAACTCGTTATTTGTTCCGTTCCTCAAGGTACTTCAACCATTAATTGTGCTGGAGGTGGCAATGGACATGTAGGTGTAGTGGATGAAGGATATTCAGGTAAGTGACATTAATCTTAAATAGCATATTGCAAAATTTGATTGGATTTCATTCCAAAAACGAACTCCTACTGCATGGCCATTCTTTATTATTCTTTATTTGGTGCTTGATGGTGCATCACAGCCAGTTTAATGTTATGTTTCTAACCCTCTTGTTGCTTTTTGAGCAAAATCTTCAGGTACTGGAGAGCTAACTATTTTTGTGATGCCAAAAAATATGGTTTAGATCCGGTAACAAGTGATACCGGCCCGATTCGCCAATATCCAAATTGCAACAGATACCAATACCTTTTCATTGATAAAAAGTTGTTAATGTACTTTGTATGTATTTAGAGGTGAGCAAAGCATCACGATTTATGAGTTTACCATAAGTAAACGCCAAAGATGAAGCATTTTATTTCAATTTGCAGCATTTTGCAGCAATATTCTGTGTTATTTAGAAGATGTGACAGCGATGTACAAGCAATCAGCATACATGTTGTTTTATATCAGTGAGATGCATCATTTATCTAAAGTTCATGATCAGCGATTCCTGGGACATCATGAAGAAGGAGAAGGATCTGTGTTTGTTTCCCTCCTGACTTCATCACAAAGGACAATGAAATGCTTACGTCGGCGCTATGAGTCCATGAAATGGTATAGATGAGATGTTTAAGTCCTTCTCACAATGCTCCCACGACGCTGCAGGGGATGTGGAGGTGGTGAGTGGGATCACAGAGGGTGTGAAGCTGGTGCCCTACGTCTTCCCAACACACCTGGAGTTTCTGGAGCTGAGCTTCACGCTGGGAGACGCCAGCGCGACGGTCCGCACCAAGAAGCCGCTGGACGCAGACGCGCTGGCCGCCGTGAGTCGGGGAAACCCTTTCTCCCAGAAACTCACTTCATATGATGCCATTTTTTTTAAATGTTTTTTAGCAACACAAACAGAAAACGTTACTAAGATGAGATAAGAGGGGGAATTCAGGTGTTGCATCAGCACAAGAACAGAAATAATTAAAATATATATTTATGAATAAGATGCTGCATCTTATTAAAGAGGGTTAAATGCGGAGGTATATGATATATGAAATATATGAACTATGAAATATGAAATATGTGTATTTCATGGGTTGAAACACCAGTTTAAACCAGTCCTGAACCTTGCAGGCCAATAGTGAGACAGAGTCCAGCGGTTGGGTCTAATCCAGGTCATGAAATGATTCTAAAAATAGAACGTTAACGCCCACTGAACGCCTCGTGCATACAGAAAGTATGGTAGTATCAATACATGTCATGCTTATAGTATCATTATATGTTATAGCCTCATGTCTCACTCACACTTACAGACAACACACATCTTTGGGATCTCAGGGTTCCACCGCCATGGAGACGTTCCTGAGTGGAACAACACCCTCTCGTGATAGCGTTATCATATTAGATAACAGTTGAGCAAAGATCGGCACAACAGGTGCATATCTCATCATATAATACTTAGCTTGAGCCAAAAGGTGTACACGCACGCACGCACACACACACACACACACACACACACACACACACACACACACACACACACACACACACACACACACACACACACACACCAAACAGGGCTGTCGATTGTGTGTTGTTGTGTTCCTAAAGAATAGGTACATTTTTTAGGAACACACACACATACACACACAACAAACAGGGCTGTCCATTGTGTGTTGTTGTGTTCCTAAAGAATAGGTACATTTTTTAGGAACACACACACATACACACACACAACAAACAGGGCTGTCCATTGTGTGTTGTTGTGTTCCTAAAGAATAGGTACATTTTTTAAGGGCCTATGCAGCATTTTCCTGAAAATGCCCTTTTGATCTTTAAGGGTTTGTGGTTGCTGTAATTATTCCTGCTGTCCATGCTAAAGAGAATTCATATAAGTGATGGAGGGTAAAATCCACAGATTCCTTCTGTTCAAAAGAAGCATTGTTAAGTTCATCAGGCTTCCTCACTCCCAGTTAGTCGGTACCTTCCAAAGCTAGTCGTTTTAGTGCACGAGTGCCTCTTTTTGCCAGACGGTGTCTTTGCTGAGCTCCAGTGGAACCTGAACTCCACTCAACACATCTTCAGCTTCAGAGTTTGTCCCGTAATTCGTCTCAACGTTGTGTTCATGTCTTTCAGAGTGACAGCACCTTGTATTACTCCGTCATGTGTGACGGCTTAATTAAGGTGGGTGTAAAGTCTCAAAGTCGCAGTTTTCACTGACATGAGAAAACAAAATATTTTAATACATTTTTTTTTTTACCATCGCAGTACAACAACACTCGGACGCTGAAAATCAACGATCTCAATGACAACAGTCCGATATTTACACAGGAGAGCTACAGCACGTCTGTCTCTGAGGTAAGTACCTGAAATCTGCTGCCGTGGACCCAAAATACTGCCAAAAGTATCCAAAGCACTCTGTGATGGAATGGGTTAGAGAGGATACATGTAGTAATAAAATACTTTGTTCAGGCTAAAGGACTTATAGGAACAACAGAACATGCATATCTATATTATTAATTTGTATCTGTGCGTCATTTTGCCTTTTTATTTTCCAGACGAAAGATGTGGACAGCGAGGTTCTTCGAGTGACAGCTGTGGACGGAGACAGCACCCCAGCAAACAACAGAGTCACATATTCCATTGTAATTAAGTAATAATAATAATATAACAACATTTGGGGAAGTTAGAATTAATGTTATATAATAAGAATAGTTACAGAGAGTTCCTGAAGTATTGTTTCAGTGACAACTTCGAAAGAAAAAGGAGATATTCGTAGTAAACAGGTTGAAATACATTCATCATGTTACTGCACTGTGGAAGATGAGAGTGGATGTAGTCACTCATATAGATATTTTTTTTAAATCCTGTCCAATCCAAATCATGACCATAATACATTAATATATTTTCAGTCATCGTCCATGAAAATATCTGACGATGAGCTCCTTGTTTTCTTCTGGTATCTTTGTTGCTGTGGTGGCTGGTGCTCAAGACATTATAACTTCATTCAATTTAAATGAACTCTGTTTGTCACAGTGCATCTGTACATATACAAAACATGTGATTACACGGCTACATTATCACACTTACTGTAGAGAACGGATATCTTTAAGTCAAGTCACTGTTGCCACTCTGGGCCTCCACGAGTGTCACGATGAGTAACAATTATCTGAATGGAAATGTGACTTTCTGTCAAAAGGAACCAACGTCAGAGGACTTCACCCTGGCCACCTCAGGGGCTTTGGTTTTGAAGAGACGTTTGAACTACAACATAGTCCAAAGGTACAACTTCATCGTGACGGCAAAGGTAATTGAACATAGTCACACGTCTCCTCCTCCATGACAACATGAATACCTGATTGATCTGCGCTGTCTGTGTTCACTGCAGGATAGCGGCGGGTTAAACGACACAGCCACTGTGCTGATTAACGTCGTCGACTTTGATAACTTGAATCCATATTTCAGCCACAACGTGTACCAGGCCTTTATTCAAGAGAATGAGGTGAGTCTCTTCAGCTAAATGCTGCAATGTTTCTCTCACAGGTGAGGGTGTTTGCTTTCACAATGCCAACCAACACTTTTCTTTAAAGGTGCGATGTGTAAGACCTGGCCACATGTTAGGGGGCAGCGTTTCACCTCTACAACTGGGTCCATACCATCAAGTTTACAGTCAACAATACCTCAAATTCAACCATAGACTGTACATAAGAAGTGGACGTAGTCAGTCATCGTGATGTCACCCCTTGATTTGTGGACTGCGGTTTTGAAGCCTTGAGTTTGGCGATTTCGCTGCTGCCATCTTGGATTACGGCGGTTGCCATGTTGGTTTTTTTGCAACCGATAAACTGACGTTAACTATATTTGGAATGTGGAGGAGTGCAGCGACCTGTCAATCACAGTATACCCGCCCTAAAGCATACTTCTCTTTATGGTCTCTTTTACTACTAAATGAACATCACGCTGTATTGAAGAAGACTTGAAACTAGCGATTGAGACCATAAACTCATGTTTACAATGTTTACCATTTATTTTTGCAACCGGAGGAGTCGCCCCCTGCTGGTCAGTAGAGAGAATGCAAGTTTTAAGAAATCTCCGCATTGGCTTCACTCGACAGAACCGGAGGTTGCCACCTGAATTCAACAAAATGTTAACAAATATCTTAAGATCTTCCCGCTTGGCGTCAGGCTATAATTCACGTTAGCCATCAGTGTGTTTACTGTGCCACTAACCGGGGGCTGTACAGTCGGTGTACGCTTTGATAGTTAATTTATTGGATAAAATCCAAAGTGGCTGAAACTCGAAAAAACGATTTGTATTTTTGTCCCCACCACCAGGGGGCAGTCCCCCAGAATCAGCTGGGGTTTGCGCTGGCTAAATTTCCTCCTGGCAGCGGGGAGGACGAAAAGAAAATACAAAAACTTTTTCTTGTTTCTGTCACTTTAGGTTAATCCAATAAAGAAACTATCAAAACAGACACAGACCCTGTACCGTTAATGTGATTGACAAGCCCTCGGGGCAGCTCTACTTCTTCTACATCTATATGCTAAAATAATCTACACAGCCAAGCAAAGGTGATGAGGCTGTGGTGCATTTCTAAGATTTTTGAAAGATTAATGAACAAATTTGAACTGTCAGCTCATAAAATAGTTATATTTGTATCTATACTGTAGTGTTTCCCTTCATTTTGACAGAGGAGTTTATTGTAGAAGTGTTATTTTTTAATTCAATCTTCTTTATATTAACTCCTTGTATGTTGTATATTTCAGGTTGGGTCTTTCCAGACTATTGAGCCAGAGGCAATAAAAGCTCAGGACGGAGACACGGGGATCAACATGACTGTAACTTACAGCATCAGTGCAGGTAAATGACAAGAAATAAATGAAGGCTTCGATTTCGGCTCAGACCTTTGAGACGAAACACAAAATATTTAATATCATTATTATTTGTTTAGTGTCTCCAGACAAGTATCAGAGGAACTTCAACGTTGACTCCAGCAGTGGAGTTGTGTCTGTGCTGACTGCTCTAGACAGAGAGGAGATGGACAGCAGCGTGGTCTCTGTCAGCATCAAGGTATTCATGATAATTCATGGAGGATAATAAGACAACCGAAATCTAATCCCAGTCATCTCGCAATGCGTCATTTGACACATCAATGGCACACACCAGACAGTCCGAACATGAGCAGGACAATGAACACGATACAATTGCTGTATCTTTCTTTTTCACGTTTGCAATACATTAGGTGCAGATATGTCTTCCCTCCACTTCTATGCTGATGACACTCCTCTTTACAAATTAATCAATTTAGAGTTACTGTGAGGAACGTTTTACTGGTTATGAAACTCTCACTAATACTGATGCCTCTATATGACCTCGTAAGTAAACTAGACCCTTAGCTTAGATTGGCTATTTCTATAACAGTGAACATGAGCAGGAGAACGAACATGATGAAATTGCTGTTTTTCTAGGGAGTTAAAGTACATCAACACTCTAACAAATGCTTATCTAATTGCCTCCTTATGCTACCATTTTGCCCACAACGTCTGGACAATTTGTCTCCAAATGTTAAGGATAATGTGAAATCAGAAACACTTATTGGTGAGAATATGTAATATTTTGTCTCTGCAGGCAGCCCAGACAGATGACAATTTGAAGACGGCGGATGCTGTGGTGTCTGTCACTGTTGAGGATGTGAATGATAATCCTCCAAGGTTTGACCAGCCCGGCTATTCCGTAACACTCCAAGAGAATTCCCCCGTTAATGCCGTTCTGTTCAAAGCCGTCGTCACCGACCTGGACCAGGTACTGTAGATTCTACTGATTAAAAGATTATCTGTGTCCAGGCATGTGTCCCTGATACCAATATGTTCTGAGGTTTCCAAAGTGTATTTAAAAAAAACCTTTAAATCACTTAAATAATGCTACATTAACACTCATTTTAATATCTATGTAATTTTATGGATGTGTGCTTAAAATATAAAATATATTTGATATTGTTGGCTTATTGTGATAAATCAAACTCCAACACTACCATGATCATCTTTCCCCAGGGAGGATTTGTGGGAACTTTACGGATCCTTCCAGAATCTGCTCCTTTCTCTGTGGGTTCTGACGGGACAGTCAGAGTGAAGGACCCCCGAGCTCTGGACAGAGAGACCACTGAGAGCATCACGTTTGAGGTAAACTCGAGTTCGGATTAAACAGGAGCCCCAAACTTTCTGGTTTCCACTGAAGACAAAAAATCTTTTAAAACCAGTCACAAATACATAGTTTCATTCAGAAAGACTTCAGCAAAAATATAACATTTGTTGGGGACTATTTTCAGAGGCGGATTGATTTGTTGCTCTAGTGATTATTTGTGGCAGCAGGACGTTGTGTGTGGGATTGATTAGAAATAAACGACAGTGTGGGCTCATGTGATGAAGGAAAATGTCACACAGGGCGACAGTGAGGCTCATTGATGCGTTTTTAAAAGTGTCTGGACAACAATGGAGCTCTATGGCACAAAGTAGGAAGATATATCCGGCTTTGATACAAACACAATACTTCTTTAGATACATTAATTGTTAGTTTTGGTCTTTTGATCGGAAAAACAGAACATCACCAGACGTATCAAGCTATAACATACAGTAACAGTGTTGCGTCTGGACCTAAACATTGTGAGCTCTAACTTTGATGCTGTTCTTTTGTTAATTAAAAGATTGAAGCAAGGGAGACGAATCCACCCAACGCTGTTGAAGTGGTGGAAGTCAATGTGACTCTTCTGGATGAGAATGACAACAGTCCTGCATTCACCTTTAACAAGTATGAGGGGAAAGTGTTTGCAAATCAAACAGTGGGAATGCAGCTGGTCCAGGTGAGTGATTAAAACATTTCTGTTCAACATTACTTCAGTCATGTAACAGTCCATGTTGTCGCCTGATTTTTATAAGGTTCAATATTTTATTTACCATTCAGATATGTTGTCCCCCAGTGTTAAGCATGTGAACAGCTGTTATGTCCATAACTTGAGTTACAGCAGCATATTTTTTGTTTTTATACACTTAAAGATAGTTCTCATAACTGACGGACCATTATTCTGAAATCCCAATAGTCGAAACCTAAAAACAGTCCGAATTATTCCGCATTGGACTGGAAGCTCATTTCTCCTTCCTCTGCCTCTGATTAGTATTCGTGGCCTTTGATGGTCGGGTGGGTAATCGAGGAGTGATACTGTTTAGGGTAAGAATATCAGGGTAAGCCTCAGCCAATCAGAGGCAGAGTAGGGTGGGCGACGCCCTCGCCGTAGTAGATTGGATTTTGGCCCAGCTTGTTTGATTTTGATAAAACCATCCTTGTTTACATTTGAAAGTTATCATTAGCACAGATACTCTGGTGTTCAGGTCTCTTTCTTTAACACATTAGGTAGAGATACATCTGCCCTCTACTGCAATGCTGATGACACACTTCTTTAACTAACAATGATTTTTACAACTTACAATTTATTTTTCTTTTGTCATTCTTTTCCTGTTGACACTTTGCTGCTATGTCATTTTCATTCGGCGTTAAGATGATGATTTGTGTAATTTAACTCAAAGGTTAAGGCAGAAGATCCGGATGCTGGCGAGAACGGGCAGATCAAATACTACATCGACTTTGGCAACAATGACGGCTTCTTCTCAATCGAAGAAAATAGTGGAGACGTCACGCTAGCTAAGATCATTCCCCTGCTGCAGAACGAGATATCGGAGTTCCCTCTCTACATAACAGCCAGAGATGGTATACCTCGCTGAGACTCCAACACTATCAACAGCCTGCCAGAAATTCACCAATAACTTTACCTGATTGTGATTAATTCAGTTAAAGTAAAAGAGCCAATCAGCAGTAAATCAAAACTTTTCAAGCCACAATAATGATTAATTGTGTGGCATAAAGCCTGAATCCAGTCCAACTGTAAATATCAATTTATTTAGAGGCATGAGATTTTTGTCAAACTGCTGTCTGTGGGCTGAAACTTTACACGACTGCACTTCATTCAGTAGAGTCACGTCATGCACTTCACAGTTTGGCAGTAGAAGTTTATTTTATACAGAAAAGCCGGGGTTAACATCTTGAGAATGCTCACTGCTGGTGATTTCTTGAGATTGGATGTTGGATAACGAGTGTAAATTGTGTGTAGAGCACAGTCTCACACAGCTAAGTGGAGGTAGCCTTTGTCTGTGCAATCATAGGTAGCAGCCGGTTTAACATTGTGACGTGGTTGGTCAAGATGTTGTACAAATTGGTTTGTTTGAAGCACACTGAGGCTTTGGTGCAGTGTGAAAAGTACCAGCCCTGGATTTGCAACAACATAATTCTGAAAAAGTTTAAAAGATTCTTCATACTGAATGATATAAGTCAGTATGATATTCTTCCTCCTAGGTGGCACCATATCCCGCTCCTCCTCAGCACAGGTGAAGATTTTGGCCCCTGGTGACTCAAACCCTCAGTTTTTACACAACGTGTACCGCGGCACTTTAGAAGAAGAGCAGGATGCAGGAGTTGTGATTCTGACTGTAAGTTTTTATCAAACTGTCAAGAGATGTTTTTTTCCAACCAACTGGTCATCTAACATGCAAAGTCGATTTGTATTTAGGTATTCACCTCTGATTATCTACACATTCCTAGTGTAATATTAATCTTTATGTTCAGGTGGACTTCCTCTCATTAGCTGCTGAAGTTCCTGTGACTCTCCAAGTTGTTACAGAAGCTGACAAGTTCATCATCTCCGACAACGGTGACTTCTCCACTAAAGTGAAGCTCGACTACGATGAGGCCCCACACAACTACTCTGTGGCCATCTCCATCTCCGACGGGGTCAACATTGACAATGCAGTCGTGGAGGTTGAAGTCACTGACGTCAATGATAACAGTCCTGTTTTTACCTCCAGTTCTGTCACGAAATCAGTCCCCGAGGACACAGAGGTAGGATCCAATGTTACTGCTGTTCCAGCTACAGACAAAGACAGCAACTTCAACGAGGAGATCAGATACTCTCTGAGAGGAGGAGAGGGCAGGTTCTCTGTTGACCCTGCGTCTGGGATGGTGAGTGTGGCCGGTGCACTTGATAGGGAGACTAAGGCAGAGTACAACCTGCTGGTGCTGGCTGAAGATCGGGGTCGTCCTTCCAGGTCGGCCACAGCCTCCCTGCTGGTCCAAGTGTCCGACATCAATGATAACGTCCCCAAGTTCTCAAAGGCCGAGTATCAGCTTGAAGTCTTAGAGACACAGTCAGCGGGTACAAGCTTGCTCACCTTATCAGCTGTGGACCCCGATGAAGAAGCCAACGGGAGAATAACTTACAGTATTCTCCAGCAAAGTCCCTCCCCAGACCCTCCTGTTTTTGAGTTGGACTCTTCCAGCGGGACTCTGCAGCTGGTCCAGCCTCTGGACTACAGTGAGGTTAAGGTGTACAGTCTCACGGTTCAGGCCTCTGATGGGGGGACTCCCTCTCTGGTTGGGAACAGCTCTGTGGTGGTGAAGGTGAAGGACGTGAACAACAACCCGCCTGAGTTCGGTAAGGAGAACTACAACGTGGCCGTCTCTGAGAACCTGGCCAGCGGTGCGTCCATCCTCACCCTGGAGGTCACAGACAGGGATGAGGTGAGTTGAATCTCCTAAATGATGTGGTACTTAGCTCTTTAAGATCAGATATTATGGTGTGTGTAGTTGTTTTCTCGGGTGTGCTGTGTAACAGCAAACTATACTTCCTTATAATCAGCGCAGTTGCATAACATTTTACTACCAGCTCTGTTTATTAACTGTAGCTGCTGAGTCAACATTTGAATCGAGTAAAAAAAGAACAGCCCAACCTCCTCTAAGGCTGCACGATGCTCAGAAGTTATTGTTTCATTAATATAAAATGTTATGAACTGGTTAATCTGCATCTTCTTTTGGTTCTGTGTCAACACACATTAAGTGATGCATCGTCATACTGATTTGCAGATGATGGCTTTGGTGACTATATATATACAGT